CTAATCACATTTAAGTCAAGAGAAGTCAGGTACGTTTCTGAATGAGTTGGTCATTTTGTGATACCAGGAACACTCAGGTCTCGATTCCCAATTGAGCAGGTAAAATTTCCTACATCATAGTTCACCTGAATTCAGCACATTATGGAATAACTACTACACAGAAAACAGGAGGCTAGCTACCTTCTGCAGACGTGAAAACAGAATTTGGTAAGGCGTATAAAAGGCCAGCTCAGAGCCAGTCCCTATTTTTCACATAATGCAGGATATCACATTTAAAGAGGCAGTAGTAAAACGAATGCCGTACAGAGAAGGGGAGTGACCTGGCTGAGATCCTGGAACTCTCCGTGCACGAAAATAAATGGACAAGCCACAGTAGGAGAGGGAATGGTTTTGGGATTGAAGAGTATTCACAAATCTGAGGGGAAGTAAATTTCTAGGTAAATAAAGAGATGCATCCTTTCTGGGCATTACACCTTTCCTTAAAAAGAACAGAACACTAAGCTCTGACTCCAGGGAAAGGTCAAAACTGAGGCTGGAAGACAGTCTCTTAAGGACACGACAGAGGCGGCGTGATAATCCATCTGGACACACGGCTTCACAATCCACTGCCATCAGGTGCCACACGTCATTCTCTTCTGTAACTGGAAACCTCTGGGTAATTTCCTCAAGGTGAGTCACAACAGAAACGCATTAACCACTGTCATCTTCCTCTCTCTGAAATTTCCATGTATCGGTACTGATGAATTAGGGGGGAGGTTTCTAAAACACTAACTGCATGAAAACTAAATATAAAAAAAACAACAGGTGTGAAAAGATCAAGTTCAGATCCTAGTACTGTCACTTAAGGTACATAAGCTTGGACAGGTCACGGTTTCCCTGCATCTCAGAGGAACTCCTATTTGGAGCAATATCCTTATCTCTCCCACCGTTAGCATTCTGTCTAAAGCACACCCATGTTGGTGGTGCAGGGAGTCGAGGACGACGGAGCGGCTCTGTGGGCGAGGCGGGGTGCTGAGCACTCCCCCGCACCAGAACACCACTTCTCTCTGCCCAGCGACACCTTGACAAATGCTGTTAGAGGAATTATAAATTTCTTTCCAGGGCCAAATTTGGGGAGGTCTTTCTGTTAAAATTTTTTTCATTAGCAACAGTTCTTCTTATGTAAAATACAATGAATTATCTCTTTCTCTCCCCTAAGTAGTTAGGAACACAGTCTACAACCCAACATGTATAATTTAGGATCGCCAGGAAAGATTTAAAAGAGGATAAGAAAAAAAATGCTTTAATGAACAGTTATCCAGACACTTGCTTCAGTAAAAATTCAAATGGTCAGATGTTGACGTTCTATCCATTCAAGACTCCACTCACGGAGATATGGTTTAGTGTCCACGGCCTTCGGTGGATGCTTCCGTCTCACTAGAGCAGACTTAGGTATTTAGGGGGTCATCAGGTACACCTTCATCAAGAGTAAAGTACCACTTCACTTATTACCACAGCTCTCAAGAATATTTGGTATTAAAAAGAAAAAGTTAATTAAACCTAAAAAGTTAAAATTTTTAATAAACCTCTCATCTCAAAAGATTTAACCCTGATTAAGAATGACTAACTTGTGGTTCTGAGTCTTAATAAATGATCTATTTTTCCTTTCTTTAGTTATTATTATTTTAGGAAATTCTCACACTCTTACACACACACACGCGTGCGCGCGCGCCCCAAGTTTTGGGAAACTGAAACAAAGGACCAAAATCAACATCTGGGTTTTAACTACCTTTGACATTTCCATGCACAGAATTTCTATGCACAGAACTGTTAGGAATTAAAGACTATTTTGTTTTTTGCCATACTAGATGGTTCATTAAATCATTTAAGACCCAAAAGATAGATTTTTTAACCCAAATCTCTGGTTCCAGTATCTACACCAACATGTTTTTATTCCAGTGGTGCCCTCAGCACTTATTTCCAGAAACGCAGATTCCTGACACTATTTAATATGTCCTGTTATATAAATAATAAGGACAGTAATGTCACATAAAAGAGGGGTTCACAGATTATTAGTGTTTTGGAGATCTTTCATTTTAAAGAACAGAAATTATATTTTTGTGTGTTTTCATTATGGCTTTTACCAGACACTATTCATAGGACTATTACATAACAAGGAAATGTTTAAAACTTGAGACTCTTCATGTTCACAATATGTTTACATATTTAAAATCTCCAGGAAAAGAGTGATTATATGAAGTAATGTAGTGGCCTACATAATATTCAAGCACCAATTTAAATACAGGATCAAAATTCCCAGTGGGATTCCTTAAAAACAAAACCCCTCCTTTTCTCAAAACCAATAAATATCAGGGAATCCTTATTGCCAGTCATGTCACTTCATGATTTGTTACAAATTACTACTAAATTCGCTAAAATAACAAATGTCAATATATAGTTTTTAAATGTTAAACAAGAAAATCAGATAAAAGAAAAGCAATCCACAAATTACTCTTCAATTTCCTAAAATTATATGGATGATTTATTAACTTTATGCAGGAAGGAGGATTGATAAATTATTCTAAAATGTTAAGAGGCTGGTGTCTGAAGGAGGAGAGGGACATCAAGCTTACGAAGAGGTGGATCCTTCCATTCCAAAATGTCAGAGAAGGTTAACTTGACATGGGTAAATAATACAGATTTGGGGACTACAGGAAACCAAACATCACAACCATGAAAACAAGAATCCACCATTTGTGTATGCACAGCTCAAAGGGTCAGAAAGAGGACAGTCTGTATTATTTTGGCAGGTAAAACCCACTACCCCCTTGAATCTCGGCCTTCACGTGCTGAGCAGCTCACAGCCTGACTCTATCCGCCATCACCCCAGACCAGGGAAGCCCCCGCCCCCAGTCACACTCGAGCTCTGACTGAAAAGGTCTGGAACAGATTAAAAGTCAGGCCACAAAATAAAAAGCTTTGGCAGGTCATCAAGCCTGTCTGGAAGACACCACACAGTGCGCCCAAACAGGGAAACTACGGGCAGGAAGAGAATTTTATGGAACTTCTCTTTGGCTTGTGTGTGCATGTGTGTGCGTGTGCTGAGGGCAGGCTAGGAGAGCTGTTTGTAGTGCTTACTCACAACAGAAGACCAAGCTCTGGGTGTAATTAATGGGTCTACTTAGGGTCACAGTCAAGTTGTTTTATTTTACTATTTTAACTGAAAATTACACAAAAAACAAACCAAAAAGAAACAACTTTGTCCCAATTCCTGATTTCTGGAGTTAGCTAAGAGTTAATTATCATCTTTCATAACCTTATGTTAGGGGAAAAAAAATTCCACACACCACTTAAAAAAAAATCACCAAAATGTGGACAAGCTGAATCCATTTCATTAAATATGACTTAAGGAAACATGGCTGTTGTTGCTCCAATCCATACAAATGGCAATATTTATTAAATTTTCTACCTTACTTGGTTTCCTATTTCAACCACAAGGCTTATTCAAGTATTAAATAAAATCTGAAGTTGCAAATTATTAACATGCCATGTTACTTTTTTAACACCCAAATAGACCTTGAAGCTCAAAAGTCTAGCATTAAGCCCAGCTGGCCATCAGCGAGCAGTCTGTGTCCCGGCCCACCTTTCCCTCCCGTGAGCAGGGCCCCACCGGCCGCCGCTGACCAGTCAGCGCGGGGACACCCACACGCCGGAGTCTTTACAGGCGTCCATACAGACGCAACAGAACTGTTCATAATGTTTCTGAGGGGGAAGTAATTCTATCCAAGCAGCTCTGGGCATAGTTTTCCTTTTTCTGTTTTCCCCCCAGGACTGTGTTTTGAAGGCATTCACAGAGTTAATTCCCCTTTCCCGTAAGAGCCCACAGTTGTTGTTAGGTCAAACCCCGTAAAGCTTCAAAGGCTCCACGCCCCTCAGTCTGACCTACTCAGTGATCTGCACATTGTTTTCATTTAGCTACATCCAGTCCAAGACGAAAACTTCAAAACCACAATGCTTTGCCCCTTTTTAGATTCATTTTTCCGTGGCTTTGGAAGAGGGCTCAGAAACCCCAAAGGGGGAACAGAACACAGGAAAAACATGGGTAAAAAGGCACTCAAGAGCTCGTATACGATCATCAGAATGTGATGTGTGCATTTGTGAGGGGGTGTTCCTTTGTGCAGACGGTGAGGAGAATATGCCTTTTTGTTTTTTTTAAGTATTTAAAAAAAATTTTTTAACGTTTATTTATGTTTGAGACAGAGAGAGACAGAGCACGAGCTGGAGAGGGTCAGAGAGAGAGGGAGACACAATCTGAAGCAGCTCCAGGCTCTGAGCTGTCAGCACAGAGCCCGACGTGGGGCTGGAACCCACGAACTGTGAGATCATGACTTGAGCCGAAGTCGGGCGCTTAACCGACTGAGGCCCCTGGGCATCCCTAGGAGAATACGCCTTTGCTTTTGTTTCCTAAATAAATAAACTAAGGAGCCTTCCTTACACAAAAGAATGCCAGCTAGAGCAAGAAGAGAGAACATGCGTTCGCTGGCGTCTCCCCAAGGGTGGCCCCAGCCCAGTGGAGGACAGAAGACTGGACAGCCTCCAGGACAGGACGCCGCTCACTGCAGATGCGCAGAAGCAGAAGCGGGGCCAGCACACGGCTCGGCGTCCCAGGGTTCAGAGCAGTGGGACACCTGACTCTTACGGAGCCTGGAAAGGCCATCTTACATGCGACGTCTGTGTCCCTCGAAGCGTGAAAGGGACAGGACCCGGCTGGTAAGCTGCCACGACCCGCTCCCCACCCCCAGGCGCGGAGCCCGAGCAGTGGAGCGGACTCGCACACCCGCGTGTGGCAGGGCGCGGGGAATGTATGTGAGGAGGTGCACGAACAGTACGGGAGAAGCTCGCCGGGCAGTCCTCCTGCTTAACACCAGAAAGTAGTGCGATTTTATTTTAGGGGATCTTCCCAAATTCACATACACACACACACAGTTATCACAAATATCTAAAAAGGTTTTGAGATGAACCTTTACCAAAGCGAGGGTCAAGCCTTGGGTCTAGCCAAGAGGTGGTCTTGTTCTTATGGTTTATATAGTAGATTTCTCCATCCTGAGTCATGGCTTGTTCCCATCCGTCAGGCAGAGGACCTATAGATACAGAAAGAAAAAAAAAATCACGGTTGGTTTTTATTTGGTACAACCAAAAAAACATGGGGGGGGGGTGCATATTTAAAAAGAAAATGACAATTTATTAAAAGAGAATTGAGCACATGTACAGGAAAGTAAATCTACATCCTGATTCTTCTTCACTTCTTAGAAGAAACTACTAATTAACAAAGGACTGCAAGGGTTTTCCGCATGGGATGTGCACACAGGGCTCTTAATGCAAGGGGCCCTGGAGCCCACGAAGTGTGGAGAAAAGCTACCGCTTAAGCCCCCCAGAAACAGCTGGGGGAGCTGGGGGAGGCAGAGGCCAGAGTCCGTTCTGGGAACGCGGAGGTAAATGTGCCCCTGTGAAAGGGATGGACAGAAAGCAGCACCCAAGAGATTCTGGTACCTCCGTGAGGGTAGGAAGCTTCGGGGCGGCTGTGGGGGCTCCAGCAGGAAGAAGGAAGCCCAGGGTAGAGCTGCAGGTTCCAGCACACCGCTGTGCCCTCCTGCACGCCCACCCGGGATCCGGGGACGCGAGTGCACCGTTGTGCCCTCCTGCACGGCCACCCGGGATCCGGGGACGCGAGTGCACCGCTGTGCCCTCCTGCACGCCCACCCGGGATCCGGGGACGCGAGTGTCCAGTGGGAAAAGGAGTCAGAGCACACGCCTGGAATTCTGTGAGGTGCAGGTGCAGATGGGTAGAACAGAGGGCTGGCTGTGTGCCGAGTGGTTGGTGTGCGTGAGCTCCCCAAACCCCCACAGCCACGGAGAGCCACGCAGTGGTGTGGAGCCCACTCCAGTGGGGACACTGAACCATGACAGGGCTCCATATGCTACCACATCGCACAGCTCGCTTGTATCCAAGGTGACACTCCACCCCAAGGCCCGAATCTTCTTTTCCTCCATGTCCCACCGCGGGCAGGTGCGGGCCAGCCATTAGAGTGACCCTTCTGAGGGGCTCCAGGCACCCCGACCACCTCCTGCAGGCCCATCGGTCTCACGTCAGAAACTGGGTGCTGATGGGAATGGACTCACTCCCAGAACCCCCCACCTCTGCCTGCTTGGGGCACCGAGTGCTGGCCATGTCTGGGGCTGCAACGTGCTGGGCGGGCCGTGGGTACCAGCGGGGGAGTGGGAAGCAAGGCCGGTGAACACTGCAGCTCCAACCACTTTTCTCAGAGGCACTCTGTCGGGTGGGCTGAACGCCGCGACGGGGAGAGCAGAATGCCACACCTGAACCCTGATGCCCGAGTTTACCCTTACTCCGGAAGAGGGCGCAGTGGCAAATAGCTCTTGAAAAACAAGGGGCTAAACAAGGGGTCGACATCCTAAGATCCTGAGCCACGGAGACAGGAACAAGTCTGCAGCGGGGCGGGTGGTTTCCGACGCCTCCACCAACAGACCCCGCCACAGCCCCCAAGCCTGCCTCCACCTCCCCGAAGGCGCCTCTGCCTTCGCTGTCGGTTATCACTCTCTACCAAGAGCAGTGCCCTGGACACGCACTCCCCTCCAGCCTGCAGGTGACACTGCATTCTCTCAGTCTGCTCTGGTGCATCGCTAACAGCTCCGCCACCCAGAGGCAGCAGCTCTTTCTTCACGCCTACAGAGCCTCCTTCTCAGAGCCCGACTGGTCACCACGGCCCGTTTCCAGGGTCTTCTATCAAACAGCCACCAGGGTATCCTCCTTCAAATGTCACCCCTTCCAATGAACCTTCCCCGAGGACCCCAGGGGAAAACAGGTTAGTTTTCTCTTCTAGGCTGTGTTCACGTGTACAGGACAGAGCTGCAACGACCTGTGTGCATGTCTGTCCCGGCAGCGGCCGGCTCACCCGCCCTTCAGTGCCCAAGCTGGCAGTCCCCGCGCAGTCAATACGTGAGGAAGAACGGAGGCCCTCCTTTGAACCTTTTGAACTTTCCATAAAGGAGCTTAAAATCATGTAGTGCATATATTTCAATTAATAGGTCTGTAAACAGAAAAATGACATTATTAAATCCAGTACTTTTGCCTCTTAAGCTTTTTGTTCAGAAATGTATTCATTTTTACAGCTCTTTTTTTCCATGTTAACAATTATAGAAATGCAAAATGGAAATAGCCTAAAGGGGGGGCGCCTGGGTGGCTCAGTCGGTTAAGCGTCCGACTTCGGCGCGGGTCGTGATCTCACGGTTTGTAGGTTCGAGCCCCACATTGGCTCTGTGCTGACAGCTCAGGGCCTGGAACCTGTCTTCGGATTCTGTGTCTCCCTCTCTCTCTCCCCCTTCCCGCCCCAAGCTGTGTGTCTCTCTGTCTCAAAAATACAATTAAACTTTAAAAAAAAAAAAAAAGGATAAATGTTTACAAGACCAGTGCTCTAACCCCTGAGCTATAGGGCCTCACTAAAAAGGATAAATGTTTAAAAAAAACCATAAGGGTTGCCTGGGGGGCTCAGTTGGTCGAGCCGTCAACTCTGGATTTTGGCACAGGTCACGAGTTCACAGTTCATGGAGTTCAAGGCCTGTGTCAGGTGTCGGGCTTCACGTGGACAGCATGGAGCCTGCTTTGGATTCTCTCCCCCGTCTCTCTGCCCCTGCCCTGCTAGCTCTCTCAAAAATAAATTTAAAAAAGAAAAATAAAGGAAAGAAAAAGCCTAAGTTTTTTGTGTTCTATTCCCCAGGGAAAAAACAACTTCAGTTACGTGCTACATTCTGGACTTCTTCCTCGTGCGTGTGTGGGTAACACACGTACACACACAGATGTCGTGCTCTACCTACTTGCTTTACTCAGTACATTATGGGCATCTCTTCTTGACACAACACATAGATCTTTTTCTTTTTAATGCTTCATATATCTCAGAGATGTTGTGGGTTCCGTTCCAGACACTACAATAAAGTAAGCCAAATGAATTTTTTGGTTTCTTAGTGCATGTTAAGTTATGTTTACATGTGTGTAATAGTATTATGTCTAACAAAAATAACAACATGCATACCTTAATTAAAAAATATTTATAGCTAAAAAAGAAAGGTAACCATCAGCTGAGCTTCGAGCAAGCGGTAATCTTTCTGCTGGCGGAGGTTGCCTCGGCGAGGACGGCTGCTGACTGGTCAGCGTGCTCAGCGTAGCAGTGCAAGTTCTCAAAATAAGACAACAATGAAGTCAGCGGCATCAACGGACTCTTCCTTTCATGAGTGATTTCTCTGCAGCACAGGAGGCTGTCTGACAGCACCTTACGCACAGCATAAGTTCTGCGGACAGTAGGGTCCATCCTCTCAAACCCTCTGTTGCTACATTAACTAAGTTCATGTCCGATTCTGAATCCTGTGTTACCATCTCAACAGACTTCACAGCATCGCCACTGGAGTAGATTCCATCTCAGGAAACCACTCTCCGCTCATGTGTAAGAACCGACTCTTCACTCACTTGCCCACGAGGCTGCACATCAGTCCGTCTTCAGGCTCCACTTCTGATTCGAGTGCTCTCGCTGTTCCTACCACATCTGCAGTGATGTCCTCCCGGAAGTTCTGAACCTTCGCATCATCCCCCAGAATCAACGTCTTCCAAACTCACGTTCATGTTGATGTTATGACTTCTTCCCATAAATCACGATTATTCTTAAAGTCATCTAGAATGGTGAACACTTTCCAGGGATTTTCAGTTTACTTAGCCCAGATCCAATATGAAGAATCACTGCCTGGGGCGCCTGGGTGGCTCAGTCGGTTAAGCGTCTGACTTCGGCTCAGGTCATGATCTCATGGTTTGTGGGTTTGAACCCTGTGTCGGGCTCTGTGCTGACAGCTCGGAGCCTGGAGCCTGCTTCAGATTCTGTGTCTCCCTCTCTCTCTGCCCCTCCTCACACTGGCTCTCTCTCTCTGTCTCTCTCACAAATAAATTAAAAAAAGAAGAAGAAGAAGAAGAAGAATCACTGCCTATAGCCTTGTGAAATGTATTTCTTAAATAGTAAGACTTGAAAGTGGAAATGACCACTGGATCCATGGGCTGCAGGCATGAAGACAACGTTCGTGCTGTTGGACACCTCCATCAGGGCTCCTGGGGGACCAGGTGAGGCATCAAGGAGCAGTAATCATTTGGAAGAAATCCTTTTTCTGAGAAGTAGGTCTCCACTGCGGACTTAAAATACTCCGTAAACCATGCGGTACAGAGTTGTGCTGCCAGCCAGGCTTGGCTGCTCTGCTTCTAGAGCAGCAGCAGAGCAACGTAACTGTGAAAGGCCCTAACAATTTCCGGAGTGGTAAATGAGCACTGGCCGCGACGGATGGTCACCAGCGGCCTCAGTCCCTAACGAGGGAGTTTGTCCTGTGAAGCCAGCCGCTGACTTCTCCTCTCTGGCTATCTTCTTTCAATAGACGGCCGCTTCATCTACGGTGAAAATGTGTTTTCCAGTGCAGCCCCTTCATCAAAGATCTCGGCTGGATCTTCCACATCACCTGCTGCAGCTTCTACACCAGCACTGGCCACTTCACCTGCCCTTTTCTGTCGTGACACGATTTCCTTCCTTAAACCTCCTGAACCAACAACCTCCGTACACTCAGGCCTTTCTTCTGCAGCTTCCTCACAAATGTCTGCCTTCCCGGAACTGAGAGTCAGAGCCTTGCTCTGGGTTAGGCTTCGCCTCGCAGGAACACTGGGAGTGGTCTGATCCGAGTGGAGGCTGTTTGGCTTTCCTGTTTGGGGGTTCACTGGAAGAGCATTTTTCAGGTCCTTCAAGAACTTTGTACTCACAACTTGGCTGACTGGCGCAAGGGCCCCGGCTGCTGGCCTGTCTCAGCTTTCACGTGCCTTCCTCACTGACTCGATCACCTCCAGCTTCTGACTTAACATGACAGACGTGTGACTCTGCCCTTCAACTGCATACTGGGAGGCCACCGCAGGGGCACTGATGGACCCAATGTGCACAGTGATGTGTCTCACGGAGGAGGAGGCCCGAGGGGGGACGGCCCATCAGTGGAGCAAATACAACACAGACAGGGTTTACTGCCTGCAGCTGCCAGCTTACGAGTGCAT